TCGCTCACTGGTAAACAATGGCACACTGGCGGGGAAGGCAGGCCCAGGGGCTCAGAGCGTGAGTACCACCCGGACAAAGGGACGATTAGCGGTTAACGACCTTTTGCAGCCAAGTTTACACGAAATAACGGATATTTCCGAAATGGACGATTTTGGGGCTGGATGATTTTTTGAGGGACCCTGTACATCTTCTTTTTTTCAAAAAACCCGCTGTGTCCCCCCAAGGCGGTCCCCCAAAAACAAAAACAAAAGTTTTCTTTTTAAATTTGTAATTTAAAGGGAAAAGCGGTTCTAGCCCCTTCTCTGGCTTTTTAGTCGTCTCTCACGACATCATAGTTTAAAGGGGGGAAAAATTTTTCTGCCATTTTCCCCCAGGGAGATAAGGAAATAAACAAGAAAAGAACTAAAAAGAAAATAGAAAAAAAAACCCCGGGGGGGTATGTTATACATGATTGTACTTTTGTGTAGTGTGCCTAAGTGTAAGTAGAAGTAGAAAAAGTCCCTGAAAATCTTGTATTTTTATGAGAAAAAAAAAAAACCCACACAATCCACCATCATGAAAAACAATTAAGGTTTCCTTTTAAAACCACTTGGCGGACGGTAGTACCTCCCTAGGCGGTTGCTGTCCCCAACCTACTACCTAGGAATATTTTAATACATCGAATATATTAAATGTAAAGTACAATCAATTTAACATAAAAAATTTATTAAAAACATTGGGTGCACATAAAAAATCCCAATATTCAAAATTTAAAAATTTATTGTATAATTTAACAATAAAAATAAATATGTGAAGGGATTAGGGAAACTGGTTGCTGGACTTGAGTCGGGAAAATGGGAATACAATCCCCTGCACTTTAAAGGAGGGGTTTGGGATATGGCAGTTTGGAGGGATGTGTAATAGGGCAGTATAATATAATTGGGGCCCTGAATATTTCTAATGGGAAATAAAGTTTATTATTTTAGGTCACTTTTTAATTGTATCTTTTTATATCTCTAAGCTGCGTATCTTTGGGGACCCCTGCAAAAACAATGATTAGTATGAGTGGGTGAAAAATGTTGAATGATGTGAAAGTGTTTTTTTTTTTTTGGGGGGGAAAATTTTTTTCTTTTGGGCACCCGCTAGGGGGAGACAGCCGGGTTGTTTAAAAAAAAAAGAAACAAAAAAAAAAAAAAAGGGAAAGGGAAAGGCTTCCCGGGAAAAAAAGGACTTGCACATGGATTACCATAATGGTTTTTTAACAAATAACCACACTACTGGATAGTCAGAAAAAAAATAGCTGCGAAAAACCGATCAAAGTGTGAAATTTTTCAATCTCTGTGCTTCCTTCATCTTCCAAAAGCACATTCTCCCCAAGGAGCAATTCAGTTCTCCCCTTTTATATCAAATTCATTATCTTTTAATCCCTCACTTTTTTTAAAACACTTTTATTCACTTCTGACTCACGAAAACGTAATGAAAAAGATTGCAATAAACCGTAGCACGGGTGGGGATAGAACCCGCCATCGAGAAGTGTCCTCAAAACTCCAAGAAACCGTTGTGTAGATAACACTGGACAGCTAGCCACAATAAGATCGTCACTAGGTATATTTCCTACAACCATAGGAGGATTAGCATAAGCACCACTGGTGACCGACAAATGCAAAGCTTTTACAGACAAATCTCCAGCTAGCGTGGCCATGACGAACTCTAGCTCAAGTCCCCTCAAAGCCGTCAACGATGTGCTCACGAAATATACCTAGTATGACGAAACTTATTGGCTAGCTTTCCAGGCTACGGCGACGGTCCTGGAGTTTTGAGAACTCTCTCGATCGCGGGTTCTACTCCCCGTCCGTGTATGGTTTATTCACTTCTTTAACTATATTAAACCCTTTGATGGTCGCAGGCAGGCCCTTTCCGAAACTGCTTTCTCAGGTCGGGCCAAATTTTAGAAAAAAAAATTATTTTTCTCTAATGAAAAGATAGAGAATCTTTTCCCCGATCATAAAGACACCAAAAGTTTGAATTTGATAGAAAAACTTACGGAATTATGCTCCACGCAAAGTTAGCATCTCGCGATGTTTACCGCATACGGCGATTTTGCCCACTTTTAGGCCCCATTTTCCGGCCAATTTCACTTTACAGTGTCGACAAAAAACATGAAAATTCGCTAGAAACCTCCATTTTTTTCTATGAATGGTGCAAGAAACCACCATTGATGAAAATTCACTATTCCAGTAACAGTGGTCAAATTTAGCAATTTTGCCAATTTCATCACGACAAATTTTTCAAAAGATGGCCAATTTCCGAATAGGGTCCAGAATAAACAAAAGAAAGACATTCCTGCACCTTAAATGACATTTCTCTAGTCATGTATTCACGTCTCAAGGCCCCTCTTATATTCTTTTGCTTCCACTATTGAATTTTTATTCTCAAACAAAAAATATAGAGATTTACGATTATGCAGACTACAGCATAGTGTTAAAAAATGTATAAATATTATGGTGCACCTGGTGGAAAGAATATTAGCCTCACCAGTTGACGTTATTGCAACCTTGGCTACGATTTGTTTACTTCTGAAGTTTGGTAAAAATCGCACATTTCTGCTACTTGAGCTCAAATCAAGGCACCTCCATTGTAAAAACCAGTCAAAATCATCTCATTCTGTAATATTCTTACCATTCTATAAAAAGACCAAGAAAACTAGAATACAACAATAACTAACCATAGAGCGAAAAATCACTGCAAAGTCGCTGATTTATTCAAAAAAATGTTAAAGTTTTTTTTTTCTCGTTATGCACTGTGTGCTGCCCAGATTTTTTTTTAGACAGTGGCACACTGACCCACATAGACCCATCTTTTCAATATGAAGGCCACCAGCTTTCCTCCACTAGATTTGAAGGGGCCGCCAGAATTATATGCGTACTAGTACGTCAAAACCCCTACGCGTTAAGACGTACTGTAACGAGACCAAAACCCTCAAAGGGTTAAACCACCATGATCTGACACATCCCCATTAACTGGAAATTAAACACCCCCTTCTCTTGTAAATACTCTAACCTAAGCCTCATTCTCCTCACAAGTCGGCAGTCTCCCACCGAGGCAGGTGACCCAAAAGAGAAAAAAACCCAAAAAGAAAATACTGTTCTTTATCATTCAACACTTTCACCTCACATCGCATATAATACTGTTTTTTGCAGAGGTGCTCAAACATAACAGCTTAGAAGCATATACCTAAAAAGATACACAACATATCCCTCAAACTGCTAATATCCTGAACTGCTCCTTTAAGTGCAGCATTGTACTATTTCCCATTTCCAGGACTCAAGGTCCGGCTATAAAAAAAACCGGTTTCCCTGAATCCCTTCACTAAGTGTTTATTGATTATTTACATATTACATCATCGCAATAGAATAAGTAAATATCCAATAAACAGCTCCGTTATCATGTAATTAATGCAACACTTGTCCTCACATATACATATTCCTTTCTCTTCTAAATACTCTTGATCCCCTGTAATCTATTTTCTAAAGTATCACTTACTGGTTTTACTCGAGACCATAAGTAGGGTGGCCCAAAGAAGAAAACACATTCACTACTTCAATCAATCGCAGTCTTCCCAGACATGAAGAGAGATAATTCCTTTATGACCTTGCAAATTGTAATCTGCCCACCAAACTGCTCAGTGATAATAATGGACTTTCCTTCTCCATGCCTCAGTTGGTAACCAGTTTCCCTGAATCCCATCAGAAATACTGTCCACTCTAGTCCCACAAGCACTTAAGTATTAATTCACTCCAATCAAACATGATCACACATGCCTGCGACTACTCAGGTCACAACACTAACGAAGTTCTTCACCCTGTCCCAAAAACCCTTAATGGGATTTTTTCACTTGCCCACTTTCCACTTGTTCAAAATTTATACACCTAGGTCAATAGTTTTTTCTCTACAATTTCTCAATGACTAAACCATCTCGACTTTCTTTAATTATGTCATTTATATAACACATGTATACTAACGTA